TCCAGTGGCTTCTGTAGCCTGATTTCTTATACCACCCAGTATCACCTACCCAGGGCCGGCACCACCCATCAAGGGCTGGACCCATGCACACACATCAATCATTAAGAAAACACCTACAGGGCCAGTCTTACTGGGGTATTTTCACATGAGTCTTCCTTTTTCCATGACTCTAGCTTGTTGGCCAAAACTAAACAGTGTACCTGGTGAACCTCCGTGTCACTTAGAAAGGCGAAGTTTGCAAGGCTGTGTGAGACTGACTGCCAACCCTTACTGATCTGTTTACATCTGTTTCCATCCTCACATTCCTTCTTGCTGCCAGGACTGGGAACTGTACTTCCTTCTCCTAGGAAGATTCCCACACATTCCCATATAGCTCACGCCACCTTCCTTAATTGTCCTTGCCTGTGGCTTCTCACTCACTTTTATTCTGTCATGTTGTCCTGTTTGGGAACTGCCTATCCTCCTACCCTTAGCTTTCCTTGCCTTGGTCTTCCCTTGTTTGAATCTACAGATCTAACCCCTTCTGTCATGCTGCATGTGTTCTTTATAGTCCGTCTCCCCCTCCATGCCAGGAACTCTGGACTGTTTTGCTCGTTGTTAGCTCCTAAGGGTTTAAAATGGCGCCTGGCATCTAACAGGCACCCAGCAAAGATGTGAGCGAGTGAGTCTGTGAAGCCAGAACTCAAACAACATCTATTTCTCACAGAGTGCTATTCGGGGTCAGTCTGGCACCACTACGTATTTAAGTGATAAATACTGGTCACTGAGATCTGGTTGCCCCAAGTACACCAAGTGATGCTACGTAAACCTCGCTCTCCGATTTAAAGTTAATTGGTTAATAAAAGGTTAGAGCCAGTGACTGGGTGGTAGAGAGAGAGAGGTGGGATTTGAGAATTGCGTGGAAGGTCTCAGGAGAGACCAGGGAGAAGAAAAGGGACACAAAGATAGGAGGAGGCAGCCATGAGAGGAGATGGTCCATGAGTACCTGGTCAGGAGAAACGGCACGCAACAAGAGACGTGTGGCTGGCATGTAAGTCAGAATAGCTCCAAACCTGCCCAATCTAGGCTTACAGCTTGTAATAACACACCAGGATCATGTGTCTTTTATTCAGGCTAGTTAGAATATATAATTACAATTGGGTCGCACAGTGCTCTGAGGTGTCACACTCAGGCAGCCAGAGGACTGAGGCAACAATCATGTCAAATAATTTTCTCACACATTATTGTCCCTAGAGCACTCCACCTCCCCAAATTCAAGTCTATCCATGTAGTTCCCAGTGCCTGCTGATTGCTTCTGTCTGTGTGTGTGCCTCTGTGTGTATCTGCCTATATGTGTGTATATGCCTGTGTGTCTGTGTGTATGTGCTTGTGTGTATGTATGTGCCTGTGTGTGTGTCTGTGTGTATGTGTCTACGTGTGTGTGTATGTGCCTGTGTGTGTGTGTGTCTATGTGTGTGTGTGTGTGTGCCTCTGTGTGTGTATCTGCCTATATGTCTGTATATGCCTGTGTGTCTGTGTGTATGTGCCTGTGTGTATGTATGTGCCTGTGTGTATGTCTGTGTCTATGTGTGTGTGTGTGCCTGTGTGTGTGTGTATGTGCCTGTATGTGTATGTGCCTATATGTGTGTACGTGTGTGTGTGTGCAAGTGCCTGCGTGTGTGTATATGCATATGTATGTTTGTGTGTCTCTCTGTGTCTGTGTGGAAGTGCCTATGTCTGTCTATGTATGTATGTATGTATGTATGTATGTATGTGTGTGTATATTTGTGTGTATTTGTGTGTCTGTGTATTTTGTATGTACATATGTGTATGTGTGCCTGTGTGTGTAGGTATAGGTATGTGTGTGAATTTGTGTGTCTATGTATATATGTATGCTTGTGCGTGTGTGTACTTGTATATGTATAGGTATATATATATATATATATATATGTATGTGTATTTGTGTGTCTATGTATGTATGTATGTGTGTGTGTACCTGTGTGTATGTAGATATATGTATGTGTGTATATTTGTGTGTCTGTGTATGTATGTATGTATGTATGTGAGTAGGTGGATGTATGTATGTGCATGTATGTATGTGTCTGTGTATGTGTGTGTGCCTTTTTGTGTGTCTATGTATGTGTGTCTGTGAATCTCTCTCTCTCTCTCTCTCTCTCTCTCTCTCTCTCTCTCTCTCTCTCTCTCTCTCTGCCTCTATCTGTGTGTGCGTGTGTGTGCCTGCGTGTGTCTATATGGATTTGTGTTTGTATGTGCATGTCTGTGTATATGTCTGGCACTAATCTTCGTGCCTCAGTAGTACCTCATCACAGAGGTAACTCTTCCATTCCTAAGTCTCCCCATTGCCCCGTTTTAGGTAAAGAGACAGAGCCTGGCGGCCCTTCCTTTACATACTTGGAGGCTTTAAAGTTTGTCTTATGGTCAACTACACACTCCCAGGTAGACTTACTTTGTGAAAAGGGGACATACAACAGACGAAAACAGCTGCCTGCTGAGCCCCGCCATCCACTGTCAGGCTGTTAGAAGCACTTCCGGTACTGCTGTTTTTTTTTTTAAGACAGGAATATCTAGCTTCATTTTTGTCATTAATGAATATGCAAAGGGAACCATATTGATTGAGGCTGCAGGGAAATCAGGGCTGGATGCTTAAAAGTATCTTGTCTCCTTCAAACAGGACCAGGGTCCCCATTTTGTGACCCCAGATCTGTGGGGTACCCGCTCTGGTGAGGAAAGTAGTGGGGAGCAAGGGGGAAACACTGGGCAGATAAGTAAGGGGAGCCTCAAAATACATCTTGAGTCAGAGGAGGCAGGGGCTAAGCTTCGTGGGAGTCACCTGGCTGCTGACCCCACAGGCTAATGTGAATCTGGCTTGGAAGTGAACCTGGGTCGACCTGATGCTAAGAATCAGGCTCTAGATCTTCCAGCTTCTTCATCCCTGAAGACCTGCCTGCTAGCTAATGTGCCAGGGATCTGAACCAGCACTGGATCTGTTCTCGGTTTCCATGGAAATCACTTAAACTTCTCATCATCCTTCCTTCAGACCTTGGAGAAGAGCTATGCTCTCTGGTTTCCATGACGACCACTTAAACGGGTATCCTTGTCTGGTTCTATTGGAAGGGAGTCGCTAGAGTTCATGCAAATGAACTGGCTTGACTCTCTTCTTACTTGGAAAATAAAATAGGATCCAAATAGAGTAACACACCTGCTCAGAAGTTTCAGAACTCTGTTCAAAATCAAGGAGGGTGAACGCCGTGTCAAGTTGCTGTTTGAGGCGGGCGCATCATGTCTCTCTTTGACACTAAAACGCTCATCCTGATGGCTCTGGCTAGTTCTGCTGTCTTATCAAGGAGGGAGGCCAGGCAGGGCCAGAGTGGCTAGTCAGTTTCTCTACCTAGTGCAGTGAAAACTGTTGGGGGAGACAAACAGGGTTCTCA